TGATGAATGATGTTATATGTGTGATGATGGATGTTGTTATGTGATGATGGTGGGTGTTATATGTGGTGATGATGGATGATGTTATATGTAGTGATGATGGATGGTGTTATATGTAGTGATGATGGATGGTGTTATATGTTGTGATGATGGATGGGTTATATGTAGTGATGATAGATGATGTTATATGTAGTGATGATGGGATGGTGTTATATGTAGTATGATGGATGGTGTTATATGTGGGATGATAGTGTTATATGTAGTGATGATGGATGGTGTTATATGTAGTGATGATGGATGGTGTTATATGTGGTGATGATGGATGGTGTTATATGTAGTGATGATGGATGGTGTTATATGTGGTGATGATGGATGGTGTTATATGTAGTGATGATAGATGATATTAAACGTAGTGATGATGGATGTTGTTATATATAGTCATGATGGATGGTGTTATATGTAGTGATGATGGATGGTGTTATATGTGGTGATGATGGATGGTGTTATATGTAGTGATGATAGATGATGTTAAATATAGTGATGATGGATGTTGTTATATGTGGTGATGATGGATGGTGTTATATGTAGTGATGATGGATTATGTTATATGTAGTGATGATGGATGTTGTTATATGTAGTGATGATGGGTGGTGTTATATGTAGTGATGATGGATGGTGTTATATGTAGTGATGATGATGTTGTTATATGTAGTGATGATGGATGATATTATATGTAGTGATGATGGATGTTGTTATATGTAGTGATGATGGATGATATTATATGTAGTGATGATGGATGTTGTTATATGTAGTGATGATGGATGATATTATATGTAGTGATGATGGATGTTGTTATATGTAGTGATGATGGATGATGTTATATGTAGTGATGATGGATGTTGTTATATGTTATATGGGTGGTCCCCTACAATCCTCTTTTGAGTAAAGCATTAATGAGCACATCAATGTGGAGTTCTGTAATTCAGTCAAGTCCATCAAGTATGTTTGCAGATACGTCAACAAAGGCTCTGCCCAAGCGATCTTTGCATTGGAAAAGGATGGAAATCATGATGAGGTGACACAGTTTCAGCAGGGCCGTTATATATGCAGCAATGAAGCCCTATGGAGAATTTTTAGTTCCATTCACGAGCGATGTCCACAGTAGCTCATCTGGCTGTTAACCTGGAAAATGGACAAAGAGTATACTTCACAGAAGAGTCTCTACAAAATCAAATGGCAAATCCTGCTGATACGATTCTCACTACATTCTTTAAGCTTTCACAAGAAGATGAGTTTGCTCAAATACTCCTGTATGTTGACATACCCAAGTTCTACATATGGCAGGCTTCAATGAAAAAGTTCTAGAGAAGAGCTCAAGGATCCGATGTTGAAGGATATCCAGGGATAAAGTCAGGCAATGCTTTGGGACGTGTCAACACGGTTCACCCCAACAACTTTGAATGCTATTATTTGAGACTACTTTTGCACCACATCCGTGGCCCAGCATCATATGCAGCACTCAAGACAGTGAATGGACAGTCTGCAGAACCTATCAGGAAACGTGCAATCTCCTTGGCCTACTGGAAGATGATGTGTCACTGGAATGACACATTAGAAGAGGCAGCAGCTACTCAATCGCCAATGAGAATGATGAACCAGTTTGCCATCATGATTGCTACATGTGGACTTTCCAACCCAAGCCAGCTCTGGAAAAACCACCAAGAAAGTCTTTCAGAGGATCTGCTTCATCAAGCAAGAAGAGAACATCCTGGTCAAGAGATTGAGTTCATGGATGACATGTTCAATAGGGCTCTGATCATGCTGGAAGACAAAGTGATGGAGTTATGCGGAAAAAACCTGACTGATTTTGGAATGTCTTCCCCAAACCGAGAAGAACCAGTAGCTGCAAACAGGGAGTTGCTCTGAGAGACAGACTACTCAGTTCAAGTTCTGGTGAATTTTGTTGAAGAAAATGAGCCTCACCTGGTGAGGCTCATGAATAGATCTTGCAAGCGGTATAAGCGGAGCAGGGAGGTATGATCTTTCTCGATGCACCTGGCGGGACAGGAAAAAGCATTCCTCATCAACCTTCTGTTGGCCAAAGTACGTCATCAGGGGAAAATTGCTCTTGCTGTGGCATCCTCAGGCATTGCTGCAACACAACTAGAAGGAGGACGTACTGCACACTCAACTCTTAAACTGCCTCTCAACTTCACTCACAATGAGAATCCAGGATCGGGAAAGGCAAAACTCTTAGGAAAATGCAGCCTCATAGTCCTGGGGTGAATGCACTATGTCTCACAAGTTAGCTTTTGAAGCATTGGACAGGACCTTGCAAGACATACGAGAAAAAGACCAGCTCATGGGTGGCATTACAATGGTCATTGCTGAAGACTTTCGCCAGACCCGACCTGTCATTCCTCGAAGCACTCCAGCTGATGAACTGAATGCGTACCTCAAGGCATCATACCTTCGGAGAAGTGTTGACACTCACCCTATCCACAAACATGAGAGTACAACTACAAGGAGATCGGGATGCTGGACGGTTTACAAACCTTCTACTACAGATTGGGAATGTAATTTTCCCTGTTGATTCAGAAGGACAAATAATTATTCCTCAAGGATGTGGAAATGTTGTAAAGTCCTCAACTGAGCTCACTAACATGGTCTACCCAAACAATATCCACCACTACAAGGATCACAAGTGGCTGCGTGAACGCGCAATTCTGGCACCAAAGAATGAAACAGTGGCTGAAATCAACATGACTCTACTCAGACAACTTCCAGGCAGTGAGACCTCATTCAAATCTGTTGATACAGTAATCGATCAGGACCAAGCAGTCCAGTACCCTGCAGAATTCCTTATTTCTTTGGAGCCCGCTGGAATGCCTCCTCACCACCTCACTCTCAAGATTGGAATTCCTATAATGCTCTTAAGAAATCTTGAACCACCAATCCTCTGCAATGGCACAAGACTGGTGGTGAAGAACATGATGCCACATGTACTGGAAGCTACAATACTGACAGGAAAAGCTAAAGGCGAGGACGTGTTTATGCCAAGGATACCTCTCATCACCACTGACCTCCCATTTGAGTTCAAGCGACTTCAGTTCCCGGTTAAAGTGAGCTTTGCCATGACCATCTACAAAAGCCAGGGACAGTCCCTAACGATGGTTGGCCTAAACCTGGTGTTTCCTTGTTTCTCTCGTGGACAGTTCTATGTTGGATGCTCCAGAGTGGGAACTGGCAAAAATCTGTACATACTTGCTGCTAATGGCAAAACCAAAAATGCGGTCTACCTTAATGCACTACAGTGAGGCAATGTGGAGCCTCCCGGAGGGTGGCGTTCTACCGCCCTTACTTCACTTAATTCCAGAATATCCCATTCCAATCTTTTCATTTCCATACAAATATTATCATATTGACTAGCCTCATATAATGTCCTCAGATTCCATGTTCCAAACTTTGTTTTGTGTTTGTTAAATTTTATACTTTTCTTCGTGTTTAATGTCAAAGGTCTTGTTTTGCTTGGACAGTACTTGCTAGCTCTAGGTGGCACACTGCCCGCAAGCACGGGAGGCAATGTGCTTTGTTCTTTTGTTGGCGATGCTCCAACAGGAACGCCTGAGAATCGATTATTTTTCTTTCCTTACGACAGAATTATTGTAAATATTGGTAAAGTATTGTGTGGAGCAGACGTGGACGCTTAACAACTGTAGAGAACCAACAACCACTGTCCTGTAAAATAGGTTTAGTCAGAGGCCTGGCTCAGTGGCCCTTTAGTCACACGTGTAAAATATCACAATTTAATATGCTACTAATAGTGACTTTACTTTGAAACCTAAAACATGTGGATTCAGTGTTATGGCTACTACTGAACATTGTAGTGTTAACTCTACTAATGTTGCTGTACAGCCACGTAGTATGTTATAAATGATATTTCTATTATTCTTGTTATGTGATAACCAACGATATCACAGCTTAACATCACAAGGATCTGATGATATCGTTGTCATTCTCCACCCCCACATATCCTCCCTCTCTTTTCACCCGTCATCTCCATCCCCTACCTACACGGAGCGCCATTGTGGCTGGCAGCGGAACACTTTGGTCAGCGACTGAACTTGTATTTTGTTCTCGCACATTCATATTGGTTAATTTCCACTAAACGCGTTCTAAAAATTATTGTCCCTTAGCTGGATTTATAAAATCAATACATAACACTTGCCTTGTTTACTGTTTTCGTGTTAATTATGATCGAAACATCCACAGGTGAAAAATAACCAAAGTGTACAGTTATGACCCCCTCCTTTCAGCGCTTACCTAGCTTCCACCACTGGTTACCAGCGGCTAGGTCGTATGTACAGAAGCAGTAGATGTATCACAACTGTCTCGCCAGTTCTCCGGTAATTTCTCGACGATCGGTATCAGTGTACAGACAAACAACAGGCAGGTAGCTTTCCACCAGGTCACAGAAACACACTTGTGCACTGTAGGCTTCTTAAATAATCTCTAATTCATCACAACACTGTTCACAGGGTAATGTCTTCACAGCTGGACTTCTCACTTCGAATGTATAGACAACACACTGCCAGTGTACAATTCCTTAGTCTTTTCACTTTTACATGCTCGCAACAATTCCACAATACTTGCACAATAATTATCTTCAATTGTCTTACTAGACTTGTTCTTCACACTTTGAGCAGAAATGGTTGACTCATTCCTAGCAATCAAGGTTCAGGGGAAGGATAAAAGAAGGTTGGAAGTGAATTTTAGGAGGAGAGGAAAGATGCAGTGGCTTAAACACCGCTTACATGAGGGGGGCGAGCTGCTCTCTGATTGGTGGATGGCTGGGCTCGGCAGTTGAGGGGCGGGGACAGGAGATTGAATGGCGCTAAGACGTCGTGTTGAGCAACCGTTATTTTTCCTTACTTCAGGTTGGCTTGATCTCTTGATGTGATTGCTTGGTTTCTGATGGGCAGGCTGCTATGTGTCCTGTTATATTAAAGACGAAGATGTTCTCTTCCTCTTCTTTTTTTCTTTTCTTGAACTGTCCATTCATGAGTGTATTGTTCTTGTTCTTGTTCTTCCTCGTGTCCATGACGTTCGTAAATGTTGAGGAAGTCTGAGGAGGTGATCCTGATGAGGTGAGGTTCTGGGTCAACGTTATCTGGTTTCTTGATAACTTCATGGTTCTTTGTGTCTTGCTTTTTCTCTCTTTTTTCTTCTTTCTTCTTAATTTCTTGTTTCTTCGTTTCTTGTTTTTTCTTTTCTTGGGAGTGAACAGCAAGGAGGACCTCCTTGTAGGTAAGTTTCTTGTCTTGGCGGATCCTCGCTATCTTGCACTGGGACATAGCTTGTCGGCAGAGTGCGGGCCGCCACAGGCTACGCATTTCTTCTCTTCGTTGGGGCAGGAGGTGTAGCGATGCCCGGAGTTTCCACACTTGGAGCACACATCCTCCTGAGCCTTGCACTTGGTGGTGGTGTGTCTGTAACGCTGGCATTTATAGCAGCGTTTGGGTCTTCAGAAGGGCTTCACTGGCACGGTTTCCCTTGGCCAGTTGAGTCTCTTTGGGTAACGTTTCATAATGTCCTACAAGGGCAGTTGTTTCTGGCAGCTTTTTTAGACAGCAGAGTTGTCCCTTGAGAAGTTTGTTGATTTCTTCTGAATCCATGAATGCTAATTCAGGGTGGGAGATCACTCCCAGCATCAAGTTGTCCCCCTGGCGGACAATCCTTTCCACTCGTATGCTGTTGATGTCGGTGAATTGTGGCAGTTGAAGGAATTGGCCATATTCGGGAAGGTGACTTTTAGGTCACCGTTCACCTTAAGGAGATTCCCTCGATTCCTTCAGAGTTAAAAATTTCTTGAAGGACGAGGAAGTTGAGTAGTTTTGGGCAGGTTTCCTCAACCGGGAGCATCCAGATCACCTTGATGTCTTCGTATAACACCTTGGCTGAAAAGTTCTGTGTGTGTGAGCATTCCTAGTCTGCTCGTGAGTGTTTACTGTATATGCGCAGGGCCGGATTTACCAATAGGCCAAGTAGGCCATTGGCCTAGGGCCCACCGGTATCTGGAGGCCCACTGAAACTAATTTGTCGCGCAGCGTGCCAGCGTATAACCTTGTTTCAAGTGTACACCGAGTATTTCATTATATAATATATTCACAACCATAAGGGCCCCTGTACAATACGTATAGGGCCCGGAGTATGGGGCCCCTGTACAATAAGTATAGGCCCGCAGTGGTCTTCAACTGGTGGGCCATGGCCCACTGGTGGACCATGGGGTGGTTCTCAGATGGGCCACGGACTAGGCCCTATAGTAAAATAAAGAAAATAAGATAAAATAAGATAATAAAAAAAATATATAAATTTTTTAAATGTCCGTGTCCCACCATCGATCTATCTATTTATCTATCTATCTATACATACATATATACTGGAGAGAGAGAGAGAGAGAGAGAGAGAGAGAGAGAGAGAGAGAGAGTACAGTTCAAGAAACCTTCAGCGCCTTGACTTGTAAGGACAGGATCGTTTCACGTTCAGTACGTGTCAGGGTTACCGTTGGTTTGCTGACAGCTCGCTCAGCCAGTCAGTATCTTCTCAGCCTCAGCTCAGAGATATTTTATATTGTGTACGCGGCACTCATTATTTACTAATGATAGTTTACGTGTTTCATTAAATGGACTTCAGTGTTATATTACATGTGTTTTTGTGTCTATTTCTTGTGATAATGGTATCTCTTACAGACTTACACTATTTTTTTGCTTACAGATTATTCTTGGGGATTCTCATGAGATAAATATGTCGTCCCTGAAAAAATGTCTGAGTGGCTCACAAAAGAGAAAGTTAAAAGCAGCCAAAGCTGCACAACCACAATCAGTTCCAAAGCTGACAACATTTTTTAAACCAAAAGGAGATTCAGAGCCAAGTACCAGTGACAGTAAACTCCCAGGGGATGACACAGTAGATGTTCACTTTCATGATTCAGATGACGAAGCGAGGTCAGCTGAGTCAGTCACAGAGATTAAGTAAATCAGCACCTACAGCAATGGAAGTACCACCTGTGACTGAAGCTTCATCCGATTCATCTCAGTTGACTTATAAGAAACATTCTGTGGAACAAGGTGTCAGTGTTGATTTGTGTGTATCAAGTGAACCAGCTGACTGGCTGATAATTGATGATAAACTGATTGAGTATTTACTAAACAATCATCTTGATCTAAATTGTGAACAAGGTGACTTCTCAAGATCTGCAAGAAGTGAAAATGTGGGTGAAAAGGAAAGAGTTCGATATGTGCCCAAATCCTTGTTTACACGTCAAATGGCAAATGATGAAAAAGTTAAAAGGGAATGGCTTGTGTATTCTCCAAAAACTGGAGATGTATTTTGTGTTCCATGCAAGCTATTCAGCAAGTAAGTCTCATTGTTTACCTGTGGGTTTAGCGACTGGGAAAACTGCCAGAGTAGAGTTGCTGAACATGAAAGTAGCAAAGAGCATAAAATCTCAGTTAATACTTGGGGTGTGAGGGCAATTACAGCAAGGTGAATTGATTCCACTTTGGCTTTGCAAGTAGAATTGGAGAGAAAATACTGGAAAGAAGTTCTATTGCGCATAGTTGAAACACTAAAAATTTTAACATCAAGAGGTCTTCCTCTCAGAGGTAGTGATGAAAGAATATGCTCAGGCAACAATGGAAACTACCTTGGAGTACTGGAACTCCTGGCACAATTTGACCCATTTCTTGCACAGCATCTGGAGAAGTATGGTGCTGTAGGTAGTGGAAAGACTTCATATCTCTCAAAAACGATTTGTGAGGAAATGGTCAATATGATGGCTGAAGAAATTCACTCAATTATCATAAGCGAAGTGAAACAAGCCAAATATTATTCAGTTAGTGTAGATTCCACACCAGATGTTAGTCATACTGACCAACTCACATTCATAGTTCGTTATGTCAAACCTGATGGCAAACCTGTTGAGCGATTTCTAAAGTTCATAGACATACATGACCATGGTGCAGAGAGCATAGCCTCAACTGTTGTACAGTTAATTAAAGATGTTGGTCTTGATTTGAGTGACATGAGAGGGCAGAGTTATGACAATGCTGCCAATATGTCAGGCATTTACACTTGTCTCCAAGTCAGAATAAAGGCTATGAATCCCCTGGTATATTATGTCCCTTGTGCAGGTCAATCCTTGAAACTTGTAGGAACATCAGCTACCAGCAGTTGCCTTGGGTCTGTTTCATATTCCAGATTTTTGCAAGCCTTATACAACTTCTTCTCAGACTCCACATATAGATGGGATCACTTTAAAGCTGCACTACCTGCTGAAGGGATGGTAGTGAAATCCCTTTCAGAAACTCGCTGGAGTATGAGGGCACTTCTTACTGTAATATGTTATAAAATCTTAACAAGGTTTAATGCAACCAGCTTATCACTTCAAAAAGTTGAGACCGACCTTCTGTCAGTTGTGAAACTGTATGAGAGTTTGATCTCCTTCGTCTCAGAAATGAGACAGGGTCAGTTTGATGAAATAAAAGATCAGGCTAGGGCTTTTGCTGAGCCTGTTTACACAGAGACAACAAAAATAACAAAAAAGAGAAAACATTTCTTTGATGAATCAGTTGGCACTGAAACTCAACTTGATCCACGTGAGAAGTTCAAGGTGGACAATTTCTACACCATATTAGATTGCCTTAGGAATGAATTAGAGCACAGAGTGAATGCCTACTCAGAAATAAAGAAGCTGTTTAGCTTCTTAACGGAGTATGACAGTATGAAATATGATGATCTCAAAGCCCAACTGGAATTGGTTGTCAGTACCTATTCCAGTGACCTGGAAGCATCTGTTCTAGATGAGTTTTTGCAATTTAAAGACATTTTGTCTTCTGAATCTGACAGGTCAGTGACAAACATCTCCACTTTGCTGAGGTCCAAAGATGGTATTTTGACAACTGCCTTTCCAAACATTAGTATCTTGGTAAGAATTTTCCTTACCATCCCCATTACAAATTGTGAAGGAGAGAGGTCTTTCTCTACTCTATCTAGGGTGAAAAATCACCTGAGGTCTACCATGAGACAAACCAGATTAAACTCACTTTCATTATTATGCATTGAATCTGGCCTCCTACAATCCCTTGACACAAACAGTATCATTGACAAATTTCCCATGAAAAAAGTAGGAAGAAGTTATTTTGAAATTCACACAGTTTGCTGTACTTCATGTGCTTGCAAAATTGATTATGCTTCAAGTTAATTTTATTTCTTTCATTATTCCCATATATAAGATGTACACTCGGAAACCATAATCTCTAGCCCACCTGGGTCGGTGCTGGAGGTTAGAACAGTGTCCCTTCTGGACGGGGGCCCACTCTAACTATCACGAGGGCCCACAAGTAGGTAAATCCGGCCCTGTATATGTGTCTCGTCAGACGATCCTAGAACAACCCAGACAGGTCTGGGAAGTTCTAGTACGTTCTACCTATATCGAGGATTAAAATAACAAGTAAATCATTACAAAAATGATACCATACATTCTAGAATATTCTTACTTAAGTAATACATTAATATATACACGAAAATCTCTCTAAACTTGCCAGAATAACTGCTGCTTGGGACAGAAAATAATCAAAACACCAAGTTTACAAACATTATAATACCAAATTATGCCTCGGTATAACAGTAATTATCAGATTCAGGACGAACAGCAGGAGCCTTCTTTGTTTTCTCTAGTATATTCAGTTTATAAAAGTCATTCACATGATGGTTATAATTTATAGTCATTTAGAATATTGCACTATGTATATCTTCCTATGCCAATCATAAGCGAAAAAAAAAGTATAATTCGGACGAGGGTTGATGTTTACATTCCCTCATTAGCTCTACCGTAAAGGTCGGACTGAGTACTAAGTAGTGAGTACTACTGATACACAACGTAAAGATTTAATCCAGTCGTTGTTTAAATAAAGATAGGAGACATTACTAGGATACACTCCAAGGGTTCAGAGTGATGCCTTTGTTTTAAAAGAGTAGTGAAGTTTATTTTCTAGTTACTGATGATCAAATATGCTTTTGTACCTCAACTATTGGGGTCGATAAGTGAGCTGCCTGTGTTAGATCTTGTACCAGATATAAAGTATAGAGTTGTATACTTTGGCTTTTGCTGGTTGTTTCCGATACAACAAAATGATCTGAGGTGTTCAGACATACAGCTTTTATTCGTTACTACTACTAATAATAATGCTACATCAGCGAGAGCTACTACTACTGCTGCTACTACAACTACCTCCTTTTTTTGCACTTTACTCCCACTACTTTTCAGTTTATTTTGAACAGAGCTCAAAATTAGAAACAATTAAGTATCATTCGAATCAGTTTCATAAATAAT